AAAAAAAAAAGCGATCGCGTGACGATCGTGCTGCACCGCTCCTTTCGTCCCATTCGTTAGCTCTACTCTACGAGTTCTCTTTTCCTCGATCCGATCCGATCCGATGTGATTGAAGATCGCATTTACACAAACGATCTTCGAATGCAAAGTCGAGTCGTCGAAGAGTGAAGAGTGAAATATCGAGACAAGAGACATTTGCTCCGAAAAGTTTCTTCCTTTTTTTTTGATTGTAACGATGAAATGACGATGAAACAATTTCATTTCACTTGTTTGGAATACAAAATCCCACGATTTAAAGGTGATCCGAGGGGACATTATTATTATTCTTACCGAAAGAGTATTCGAAGGTATCAACCTTGGAATGTAAATGATAAGTCGGAGAACGAAGGAAACGCAGAAGAAAGAGGGTAGAGGAGGAGGAAGGAAGGAAATGCTCGAGGAGGATTAACGCGCTCGCGTAGGCCTCGATCTGTATGTATGTGTGTGTGTGTGTGTGTAGGATCGATGAGAGAACAGAGATCGGCGCGCGGGGCATTGCGAGGAACCCGGAAGCATCGAGGAGTTCGAGTGTATCGAGTTAACGCATTAAATCTGTGAGGCGCATCGTCGTCGATTCTTCGAAGAAGGTTGCGGTAAATCGCGGCAAAAGTCGCGTGGCGTGCGTAGCAAGTTAACGGGCAGCGAGAGCCAATCGCGTGTCCCTCCAATCGAGGCTGGACAAAAGGCGCGTCGATGATACTTGTTGAACGAACGCGACACGCGGGGTCGTATGATTTTACACCGCATTGACGCACTCGGCGGGTTAAACGTTCAATTATTTATTGACCCTTTCTCGATATCGACGACTCGACTCGATGTTTACCTCGACGACGATCGGTCGTCGTCGTCGTCGTCGTTGTCGTCGTTTCAGGACGACCGCTCAAACTAGGCCAGTTTCACCCAGTTGATTAACGCAACGAGCGAAAGGAAAAGCGCGACCTGTGTAAAATAATATCGGAATATATTTCGAAAACAAACGTGCCTTGTGGCAATACCGATCGCGTTTCCGACCTTGGCTTTCGGCGTTCGGATAAGACGGGAATTCGGATAGCAGCGTGTTTCTCGTTCACATTTCGCCGGAATATTTCACTCGAGATTGCGCCATCTCCGCGCGAGGCACGTTTGTTTGAAAAAAACAATTTCGTCCACTCGAGAGCTTCAACGCTCAACTTCGCCTTCGCCGGAATACCAAATGGCGTTGTTAATATACCAAGTGTCGGTGTTTTCTTTTTACTTACGATTTCCTTCGTCACTTCGAACGTGGTCGTCGAATTGTCCCGCATGGAGACCAAGCCCGGCGAGGTGTACGAGCTCGAGTAACCGACCACCATGGAGCCCATCGACACCGACAGGGCAGCCAACACCTGCAAACATTCGAGAGGAAATTCGCTGGTTAACGCGCGATCGTTAGAGAAATCGTTGCAATAGATCGTAGTATCAGCTACTGCTTGCTTTGCTCTTGCAAACAGCTGCGCGACATTTCGCGACCGCGATCCGGTGAAATCCGGTAAAATTCGACTTGGTTCAGACGAGAAAACGCCGCTCGCCTAGCTGATATGATCGTAGACGTCGATTGTCGATTGTCGATTGTCGATTGTCGATACCTGAGTGAAGGTGCATTTAGCGACTGGCGCGTTGCTCGGTAATTCGATGTTCACGTGGGTATCGGCTCGCATAAGAATCTTCATGATTGATGACGATAGAGAGGCGGGGTCGGGCGGAAAATCTTGCGGAGATGTCCTGCGAGACCGTCAGACCGAAGAAACGAGGAACGATCCTCTACGATCTATCGTTGAACGATTTTTCGCCTAGTACTTTCTCGAGTATTGCTGCTCCGTGAACTGTTCAACTACGCGCACAGTACGTGTTCCGTCGACGTTGATTTAATTCTTTTGATGGTCACACCGTGTCGGATCGTCAGATCTGACTTTCAGAGTCAGAGTTGGCGAACTTTCTATCTTTCTTGTCCTTGTTGTCCTTGTTGCAACTGATATTTATTTATCTTGTTGTCGCGACGGTTGACAGTATCGGTATGTCATCGGTGGTCAACACATATACTCGGAGCGGTCGAAGCTGTCGCGTTAATGTTGTTCCCGTGTAATATTGACACGCTATTGGCACTCGTGGACCGACGGGTAGTTGCCTGTTTATATAGGGAAACGATGCTGGGGGGCCGCGGCTGCTATCCCTTCCCTTGTCATTGCGAGGATCCATCGTCCGCGAATCGGACGATTATACGTTCGATCGTGTGTGTGCGCGCGGCTTTCGCGTGGTTCGCGGGGTTCTACGCGTGAGCGCAACTCGTGCCATTCCTTCGTGCTTTGTATACTCGATACCACGCCGGCCACGTGGCCACTAATTTCGAGAGATCGTCAGACAACAGAGAGAACGGAACGGAACGGAACAGAACAGAACGAAGAAGAAGAGGAAAAAGAACCACGAGATCGATCGATCGCGCGAGGATCGCGCTCCCCGTGCGCAAACGAGCTGTGTCGAATGAAACCAGCGGTCTCGTCTATCGAGTCAGTCCTCTGGTTCGAAACGGATTGATCACGATCGGAAAGAGTGCCTATTTAAACAACCGAGCCTTGCCTTGGGATCTCGAGACGAAACCGCGCCGTTATTGCGACCGATCTTGCCACTCGTGACCTTCTTTCGCGTTGCGTAATCTTCATTGTCGGAGCAGAACGCGTTTGTTCTACTTCTCTCTCTCTCTCTCTCTCTCTCTCTCTCTCTCTCTCTCTCTCTCTCTCGCCGTGCCGCGTATATTTTCTTTCATTTTCCGCTCTTTTTGTTCTCCGTGAGATGAATAGCACGCGGCTCGATAGACGATCTCGGTAAAACCGCGTTTCCCGTGCAATCGGCACAATAGACAGAGTCGTATAGTAGACAAAGTCGCGATCGAAAGTAGCGCGGGTGAATATATTTTCGCAGTTCCCTTCCGCAAAACCTCTGTCGGCAATCGAACGTCTTCGTCCTCATCCTCATCCGCGTCTCCGAAACGAATTCGTTGCCAACTAGTTGCGGCTAGCATTTCTGCTCTTGGCGATTGTGAAATGCGTAATTTAAGGTCGATTTGACGACCGCGAGCTGCATCCTCCGTTTTCCGTCATTTTTCCACTATTAATTGTTTAATATGATCCGCAAACGTCTCGAGTGTACGTCAGCAACGATGTACGTGGAAGGGAATTAAGTCGTTAGTTATTATCAGAAGCGTGCAAGGTCGCCGGTAGTTGGGCACAAATAAAATACATGCATGCATGCGATGCATGCATTTGCCTTTTGTCCTCTCCGCAGTTGTGCTCCTTTCCATCTGAGATGATCGAATATGATCACGGAACACGCGCGTTATTCCTTCCTCTTTTTGCACCTGTTCCGGTTTACGTTGCCTCTGCATCCCCCTGCTGTTGTTCTCCTTCCCCTACCTTTATCCTATGTACGTACTTTCTTCTATCGGACTCGTCTCGTCTCGTCTCGTCTCGTATCGCCTTTTTCTCTAACTTGTTAGGTCACTTAAGTTAAGTGTACGTAGCTTGTGCCACGTGCCAGAGAGAGAGAGAAACAGAGACAGAGTGGTGTGTGATTAAAATAAAATCTCGTAATCATTAATTTGATTGCAAGTTCTCTACTCATCGCGCTTAACACTCTGACACTTGACAAACTGACGAACGTTTGTATACGTGTGTGTGTATACTGGTGATCAAGTACGTAAAGCTTTTCGAGTATCGTCCATCTTTTCGAATTGGCAAACAATTGGCATTCGTTTCTTTTTCCATAATGTCGTGCAATGAACAACATTTATCTCGTGTATTTGCGC